TATATATATATATATATATATATATATATATATATATATATAAAGGCCTAAAATTTATTCACCTTTTTATTTTTTTCGTTTTTAAATTTAGTAATTTTTAGTTTTTAAAAACTAATTTTTTTTTACTGAACATCAATGTGACTACATTTATTTTCATTCATAATCAATCATATTATTTTTTCTTACTTAGTTTTGATTATTACATTCATTTATATCATTTCCTTAATGCACCTTTTTAAAATAATTTTTTTACCTTTTTTAATTTTTTTTACAAGATATTTGTTATTATAACGTGATAAGCATCACATTTATATTTTTTTTATACAAAATTTAGCTTTTTTAAATTTAGATCACTTCTTCGGCTAAAGATTCATGTATATATATGTGTAATAATAAAATTAAAATTAGAAAAAGATGATAACCTTCTAATTTCAGATATTTGTTTATTTTAATCAATTTTATTTTGACATTTTCTCTTATATTTTTCTTAAATAATTGTTGAAAATTATGTGGAAGTTTATTTATTATTTTTTTTAATACTTTTCCAAATTTTGAAAAGACAGAAAATACTATATCAAAATTCAATTATCATATACGCCCATATTTAATTCATTTCATCATTGATGCTATTAATCTTTTAAATTTCTTTCTTTAAAGTCATCAATAATGTTATGCATTTCCTTAAATCATTTTTTTTCCTTTCTTTTTTCTTTTTACTTTTTATTTCTCTGTTTATTTCAAAATTTTATTGTCCTAAACTGCATAAAAATGTATTAGAATTTGATTTGCCATTTTATTTTGATTTTTTAGATTATTTCTTCTACTAAAGATAATATTTATATATTATAAGTTTATCAATGTTATTCTTAAATGTCTATTGAAATCTATATAATAATATAAAGATGAATATAAGGCTGCTGATGTGGCATGTTTCTAAAATGAGGATTCATTTTTTTTTGTTTTTTGATATTTTTTTAAAAAAAATTTCTTCATTCATTTTTCTTAATTATTTGTTTAATAATTTTAAGTCTATCATATTTATTATATTCAATTATAATTCATGAGTTACAAAAAAAACTTTCATCTTTTTGCATTCTCTACTTAAATAATGTCTTCTCAACTTCCTTCTATATATTTTTTAGGGCTCAAACAATCTACAAAAAACAATTAATAACAATTATATATGGAGTTCTTTGATATTTATTTTCATGTTTTCCTTCATTTTTTCGTTTTTGTTTATTTTTTCTTCATTTTCTTCATTGATCATGTATTTAATAACTAAGAGAGAGAATATAAAAAAAGTGATACGGAATATGCATTACTACCATGTTCATGAAGATTATAGATATGTTTTACATAATTTCTTTTTTTGTCATAGTAGCCAAACGCGAGGACAAGCTGAAAACGTTTTTTTATGACAATGTTAGATTAGTTTTGTACAAGTTTGACAAAATGAAGAAGAAATTTTGTGGCGGTAATTAGGTATTTTTCAAATATAAGGTATGTATTTTTCAAGAACAATATTGTTCGATAAAGTTTGGAGAGTTGCTTATATAATTCTTTTTTATATCCTGTAAATATAAACTTTTTCTTCTAAAATAATGTGTTGATTTTTCTAGAAAAGAAATTGGCGATTCTTAAAAGTCTATCTATCTATCTATCTATCTATTTTTGACCTAGAATATGTGATACTTTCTCTCTATATTTTGGTGATTTTTTTTTCTTCCTACTTATTATTGAACTTATTACAAAAATAAATGTCTTAATAACTTTATTTCGGATTGTCTTATCATTTTCTATGATTAATATTCATTATTTTGTGTCATAAAATACAAATGTTAAAGATATTAAGTCACATCCTTAATCCTCTTAATTATAATGACTCTTCATTCTTATGAATGTATATATTGAATGTAATATTAATTTGCAATACGAAATATACTGTTAATATTTTTGTATATAAGCTAAACAAAACTGAAGAATTAGGAATTTGTGTATGCCATATTTTTCAATTTTCTTTTGTTTAGCTAATTCTTTTTTTTCTCTTTTTTTTTTGTGTAATTTTAAATGTATCTTCTTTCTAACATTATTTGTTTTTAATTTTAATTAATTTTTTTAGTAATTTTGATATGATAATTTTTTAGGTAGGTGAACATATAAATACTAGAAAGTATGTAATGATGAAGTTATAACAAAGAGGAGGAAGAAGTCAGATCTAAAAAAAGTTGATATAAAAAATTAAAAAAGTTCAACTAAATATTATATACCTTATAGATGACTTCGAATAATTATTGTTACAAAATATAGATACATTTAATTGATTTTTCATAACTTATCTTTTATGATTTAGTATAAAAAAATTAATTCATTTCTTAACTGTGCGAAGCACGGCTAAGTGCACTAGTTACTTTATATAGAGAAACTATATCAGACATCTAATACAAAAACTTTAACTATGTTTTTAATTAATTAATTAAAATTTACATATTCAATTTT